ATCCCAAGCATCAAGAGGTACAGCACTGGAGGCCTCTAAAGAACCACCAGGGTGGCACAGATAACTGCAGTGTCTGACTAGCACGTCATTCTTGGGCCAAGGCATTGACCCGTCAGCCCCTGTTGGCAGAAAATTTCTAGGAGTGGTCCCAGAATCTACAAGAACCAACTCTGACGTTCTTTTCCACATAATCTCCCCCTAAAGACATTTACATTCTCACTAAATACATCAGCTGTCCACAATTAATTTAACTATATATCAGAATACTAATAACTGCCTAATTGCAGGTGCTATAGCTTTATCAGTTCAATTAATGGAACTCCTACTGTATCCTTAAACTATTGCTTTCATTTTGTCACCACATATATAGTGATGACATCTCTGTTCCATTGATAGGAAAACTTAATAGTTGCAGATTCAGGAAGAACACATCATGTAACACATCTGTTACAGACCATCACAGATGATGCAGTGATGCTCCTAAAGGAAGTTTTATGCCAAAGGTTCATCTAAAATCTTAAAACTGAGGCAACAGACCAATAAATAACTGTGTGAAATAACAAACAGGCATCTCTAGCAAGAACAGGAAGGATATACAAAGGCAACGGTCAGTGGAGTAGGCGTGGTCACCCATTATTCTCCAAGCATCAAGTCTCTCTGAAAGTGCCTTCTTCACAAGCTAATGCCTGAAAGACATACTTTGAAGGCAAATTACTTCATCTTAAATGCTTATTCAGATGAATTGCTGGTGATTTTGGAGGGGGCAGATGTGGAAAAGTGGGTTAGTGACCCTGGTATAGGCAAAGGTAATAAGGTTCTGAATCAGGTGAAGAAGAGATATTACAGGATAAGCAAGAATATTCGACAAGCTGAATTTAATAATGAAAACCATGAGAGGCAAATGTGACCAAATCAGATTTTGTCTTATCAGGTCCATTTTCTACTCCTTCGAACCATGCTCTCCGATTTGGGAGCTGACCTATTTGGTCTACAACAGATCCTTCACTTTCAGGATTCCAGTTTGGTTTTCCCAAAGAAGTTCTTCTCCACAGGTCATCAGAGGGAAGAGAGTGAGATCAGAGAAGAGATTTCTGTAGTTATATACTGTGAAAAGGCTCAGGCTGGCTACAAATCCAATGTCACAGTATCTCTCAGGCCAGAGATCTCTACCCTTCGCTCTTCCAAGTCCCAGCAACTCTCCCTTTCCCCATCCATTGGGTTATAGTGACAAACTATTACTAGCACTTTAGGTCATTGTGACTATCACATTACTAGACACTGAACTTTCCCTTGGTTTCCATAACATTAACCTCAACATTGCAAATAATTAAATCCATCAAATTCTTCTTATATGAGCACAATGCTTGCTTCCTGCTGGGACCTGAATGCGATTTTTGAATTTTGATCTTGGGAGAGTATACATATAGGGAATATTATTAGCTAAGATAAGAAATAAAAGATGCTAAATTCAACTGTGAACAGAAAAACCATATTTTTAATTGTGCAATATGACAAGTTTGTGGTTCATGGATAGCAAGAGATTGCAACAGCTGTCAAGGATACCTGGCATAAAGATAAAGAAAATTTTTAAGTCCTGGTTACTGGTAAAATAAAGTTTAATTATAAAATTTATTTAACTTAAGAGATGGAATCAGAGAATTCTTTAAAATTAGAACCCGAGATTAGGATGCTTACCCCTCCCTGGCTCAATTCTTTAGTGAGAGAGTTCAACCCAATAACTTTAAGTAATATTCCTTTAACGAGGATTTCCAAATCTAAATCTAAATGCCCAACCTCCTGCAAGTTCCTGAGAAAATTAAGAGGTGCTTTTCATTCTTGCTTTCCTTATAACTTTACATGCTATATTTTTAGGTCAAACAACTTCTCTCAGCTTCCAATTTTTTTCCTGTAAAATAAAGTTGTTGAACTATTTGATCTCTAAGTTCTCTTTAAACTCTGAAATTCAGTGAGTAGGAGTGTAAGTTTTGCATAAAGCAGAATAATCAGATCTAGTGTTTCCCCAGTTCTCCTATCTGCAGTTATCTGTGCACTGAGAACTGAAATATATTACATCACACAAATTTCCACTGCAAAAATTTACTAATTCCATGCCCCAATTATGTTTTCAATAAAAAATCATTAAATATAAAAATATTGCTCATAACTATGTATGGAGCTTACATCGTTGCAATAAATTATTTAAATTATATTATAAAAAGACCAGAAAAAAATAAAATTATAAAGCAGTAAACTCTCCTGATGGGTAAAGTCCACAGAGAGTTGTCAAAATTAACGGCAGTGCTGGCATTAGAACCCACAGCTTCTGGGTTCCCACATGTACACTCTTTCTGCAAAGTGCAGCATTTATCTTCACCTGCTTTCTACAAGTCCCAAATATTGAGTTCTTGGTCCGGAGTGATAGCACAGCGTGTAGGGCATTTGCCTTGCACACAGCCGACCTGGGTTCAATCCCCAGCATCCCAAATGGCCCCCCAAGCACTGCCAGGAGTAATTCCTGAGTACAGAGCCAGGAGTAACCCCTGAGCATCGCTGGGTGTAACCCAAAAAGCAAAAAAACAAAAACAAAAAAACCAAATATTGAGTTCTTCTCCATCCAATGTTGTGCTGGTTGGCATGAGGAATAAAATAGAAGCATAATAGTTTTGCAGCAGTTTATGGTCTAAAAATTGATGAAATAATTATTAAAATGCTTTGAACTGAGACTAAAACAAACAACCAACCATGCAAGCTAGAGAAGTACAGAACAATCTGTGTGACAAGTTACCCATTAGCTGCATTTTGAGTATTCACAGATTTCGAATCAAGTTCTGTGTGAAGAGTTAGTACAGTTTACACTTGATTATTATCAGCAATTAAGGAGTATAACTTACAGCTTTTAAGCATAGACATTTTATCTGTAGAATATATTTGTTTTTTGTTTTTTGCTTTTTGGGTCACACCTGACAATGCACAGAGATTACTTCTGGCTCATGCACTCAGGAATTACTCCTTGTGGTGCTCGGGGAACCATATGGGATGCTGGGAATTGAACCCAGGTTGGCCGCTTGCAAGGCAAACGCCCTACCTGCTGTGCTATTGCTCCAGCCTCTTCTGTAGAATTACTATTATACAAGCAGAAGTGTTTGTAAAACTATTTTCTCTTCCCTGTACTGTCCTTACATCTAAATGGAAGCCTAAGTGAATATACATTTTGCTAATTAAGAGAAAAAATTCTCTTAATATTTGCGTATGTATGTATGAATTTTTATGTGTTGCTACTCTTTAGGTGTAAGTATATAGTGATTAGGAGTATAAATGGAAATGAATATATGAAAGTTTACACAATAAAACATTAGAAATGTGCAGAAATCCAAGGCTCAACTTCTAACAATGGCCCTTGGATGAAATACAGCAGTCTTCACTCTTTCCTCTAAGAATACTTTTTTTGTAGCATTTTCAGCAGCTTTATGTGACAAACAATACAAAATATATTATTTTGATTCTGCTTTTGGGAAGGGGTTGAGTTTCAGATGGAAATATCCAAAATGTGGTGGTGGGAAGGTGTAATGGTGGTGGAATTGGTGTTTGAATATTAAATGTAATTGATTCACTTTATAAAATAATAATAAAAAAGAAATGTGTAGAAATCACATATACTTTATCCTCCTTATTTTGTATTATGGTTTGTTGTGAACAATTCTAAAGAAAAACTTCATAACTGGAATTTCAATTATAAAGCTTTTATTATTTTTCTATTTTCATATACTCATGACTTTCTGAATAGAATTTCTTAATAGCTTGGAACTACTTGCTTGAGCTTTTATACAGGAAATTTTTTCTTTAATGTGAAGATCTATCATAAATTTGGGACATATTACTGAAATAAGGAAGAAGGCCCTTATTTCCATGCTGGGATTTAATCTTGACCTTCCCACCCTCAAGGCCTGTGAGAAAGAGATTTCTTTTGACTGCAAGCTATTGTCTATGGTATTTTGCTCTCACAGTTCAAGCAGACAAAGACTAATCCTTCCCTTTATTTTCAGCTTTTCAAAAATAATAATGATAAATTTGGGGGGATGGGGAAGAAAATATTTTAAAGCTTCATTTCCCAAGATCTAAAAGGGGAATCTCATGAACTGCAGTGATGACTTCTAAAGTTCTACCACTCCTACACAAGACAGAAAGGAAGAGATTTTATGAGACTCCACCCTTCTAGATGAGTTCACTGATAAAAATCAAGTATCATCAGGGTTGACATAGGATACTAATACTCTAAACACTGGAAACTGAACTGTAAAGCAGTGGATTATTTTTGTTCCATTCATCAGGTAAAAAAAAAATACCATTAGTTAATGTTGGTCTTATCTTGTAGTCTCTGCATGAACCACAGTTTTGACTTTGAGTTCACCCAAGCATATTAATAGGAGACAGGATGTCTGCACACCCAGCTCAAGTATCTGTTTTTCTGTACTCCAACATTCATCATTATAAGAAGGCGATTTTGGCTCAGATGATTCTCACATCTTACACCAGTACTGCATAATGGCACCATGGAGGGTTACACCCACTACTCACAGCGCAGCTACTTGGTACTCAGGTACAGCTGATAAACAAGAAATTTTACATACAAATTCCTGATAAATATGAGGTGTTTTTTTTTTTTGCTTATGTACTTTAAATCTGTGGTTCTAAAAAATCCTGTTCCTTACTTACATATTTTTAGATAGAATATACCCTCCTGTTTCTCTTTCAGCATAGTCAGAACTATGACAGAAATTATGACAGAATTATGTGAGCAAAATTTTTGGACAGCTTTTCAAAGTTGGGCTGCAATTATGTTAAAATACATATGCACATGGACAAAGAACAGAAAGCACTCTTTAGATGCATAAATTCTATTTGGGAGGCTGAATTATGAATGTCGTTTTCTTTTTGTGAAATTGTATTATTGTTGATATGGTATAAATTCAACAAAAGTTATTTTTAGCCCAGGTACTTACCATGGTTGGAAAATAACGACTTGTTTTGAATTTTTTCAGAGCCATAGAAGAGGTGTAGGTGCCCAAGAAGAGGATGAAAGACATGAGAGAGATATCAGGAACAAAATTACAGTTGTTCCCCACGAGCTTTCCTCCGTACTTCAAGCACTCCTTTGTCGACAAAAATGTCCAGTCAAAGGTGGTGTTATGGTACTGAAAAAAAAAAATTAAAGTTTTCTAGAGAACATTGACACACATCAAAAGAAGCTTTTGGTACTTGGTTGAATATATGAGGATCATGCTTAAAATTTCTATGAAACAGTCTGAGGGTCACCATTAGAGTATGGAACTTGATGAGGCATTCACAGAGTGACAGGCAGGGAGGTGGGAAGCTGGAACCCAGCTATTACTGACAGTGCAATAAGAATGATGCAGTCTGTTACTTAGTATGAGTGACAGTCCTACAATGACCCATTTGTTCATTGAAAACAAATCACAAAGTCCTTCTTTCTTGTTAACTTCCTTGAGAGTAAAGTGAGACACAATAATAAATCAAGATTTAAAATAATATGTTAAGGGACTCTGATAACAACTGTGTTGGTAAAAGAAGAAATCACGGTGAACTGCACAACTTCTTACATTTCAAATCGATGGCCCTATGGTTAATACTATAAAAGTTATACTAGGTTAACTACTTACTTAACCAACATCTTCACAAATGATTTATTTCTTTCCTAAATGACCAAGTTGAGGTTGATGATTTTAGGAATTAAACTATAAACGTGTTGATGATGCCTAACTTTTCCATTGCAGAGTCTCATAAAACATCACTATTTCCCATCCAAGTAATGAACACCTGTGATGGAATGTGCTACAATGCCTCTTATGCTGCATAATTGTATGTAGGATATCCAACTAGATATCAGATATTAGATGGCCTCAAAGTTCATAAGTTGATTTCTGAATTTTTCTTCTATATCATGAATCACCGTCATATGAGTTATATCTGCTCTTGCTAGCTCTTTTCTGTTTTCACTTTCAGAAAGAATCTTTCCACCAAGGCACCTAGCCTCCTGTTGCTAAAGTGTGGCCAACAGCCGCCACCTCCTCTAGGGAACTATCTTCAGTCATAGAAAAGTTGTCTCATGTGGAATTTCATGCTCCCTTGCAGTTACAGACCAAATTAATGATGTGTCACCTATCAAATATCTGGGCTCCCTGAAAATCCATATGTTGAGATTCTAAGACTTGACAGCACCAGCCTTGCAAGCAGAGACCATGAATTCAAGTTGTCCCAAATGCATGGACCTCACATTCCTGGTGGAGTGCCAAACAACCTGCTTGGGATCTCTTCAGCCACAGCAAGAAGCTGAAACCCTTAGTACACTACAGCTGGGTGTATGTGAGCATCACAAGTGAAAAAAAAACATGTAAGTAATGCAGTCATGTGCAATCCCCAGCCAGTACTACAACTAAAATGGATGAATAAATGTGCAATCATCATAGCCAGGTATATACTTGACCCAACACTGAAACAATAGCAACAACAAATAAAGGGAGGTGGGGAGAAGAACAAAAAAAGTCATATGTTGAATGAAGTTTCGGAAGACCCAATCATCTTTGGAAAGTCATGGGTTAGAACCTTCACAGATGGGATTTATGTCATATTAAAAGAGACCTCTACCTTGCTCTTCCAAGCCCAGGTTCTCTCCTGAGCACATTTCCCCCCACTTTCCCCTCACATCTAAGTAAAATTTTTTTCAATAAAAATTGTCTTGCTTTAAAAAGATACGTAAAAATAAAAACAAAACAAAACACAAAACAAAAGAGAGAGACCTTCGTCAGAGAGATCCCTGTCCCTTCCACCATAAGAGGTCACAGCGAGAAGACTGTCTATAACCTAAGAAGCTGTAAATGGATCTGGGACTTTCTCTTCAGTCCAATAGTATGCCATGTGCTTCAATAACAAAGAGTTATTTAAGAACACCTTGTGAATAAATGAAAGGTAAATTTCACTTATCCTTTGGAAAAAAGAGTTCTACTCACATCAAACACATCAGCCATATCCTTTTCTATTCAATGAACTATATTCCTATAAGTGACTTAGTCATAAAAGAACACACACACACACACACACACACACACACACACACACACGAACTGATGGCCAGAGATCTTGTTTTACAAAAATCAAATGCAAAGACCTTACATAAGCCATTAAAAAAAAAAAACTCATGATCTTACCCTGAATTGTTTCTTTCTTATTAGCTTCAACTTGTAAATAGCTGAATTGCATAATTACTTTTTTAAAAGCAAACTCTGCTTCTGCAAGGTGATTAATCACATCTCATTTTGTTTTTCAGATTTCCACATATGTTTTTTAACATAATATATTTAAAGTTTTGAAATTACATTAGTATTTGTTTTAAAACCAGCAGAAATTCATCACAATTTTAATTCAGCACATTAATTTCAGCATAATTTTTCTTTATAACTAGAGCTTCCCAAAGAGGTAAACAATCCCAACAGGCAGTTTTCTTATTTCTCTTACAAAGTTCATATTGAGGTTAAAAACCCAGGTATGCAGGTGTTTATGAAATAGTAAGCACATTTTCTTGCTTTTACATCACTTTAAAATTCCATTATCACAACTTTTTAGGTCTCAAATGATTCCTTGTGTTCTTATACAGAATATTTAGCTACCAAACACTATTTTCACTCAAGGCTTAAGGAAAGATATAAGTATCTTGGTATGTTAATACACAATGTTTTCAGACCCATAAAATTTAATAAATGATTTTATTTAAATATCACTGAAAAGACATAAATATCACACATATTATATCTTTGGTTGAACCCACAAGTATGGAATATATTAATATGGCAGATTCACAAATCTAAAAAAATGTTTATTATTTGATCTTAACCGGGTTGGAGCGATAGCATAGTGGGTAGAGCATTTGCCTTGCACGCGACGGCAGCCAACCAAGGTTCGATTCCTCCTTCCCTCTTGGAGAGCCCGGCAAACTACCGAGAGTATCCGGCCCACATGGCAGAGCCTGGCAAGCTCCTTGTGGCATATTTGATATGCCAAAAACAGTAACAACTAGTCTCACAATGAGTCGTTACTGGTGCCCACTCAAGAAAATCAATGAACAAAGGGAGAACAGTGCTACAGTGCTACAAAAGTTTGCCTATTTGGTTTAATCTCTGATCTAGAAGTTCCTTCTACTTTACATTATTTAAAAACTCTGAAAGTATTAAATTTGTGAACATTTTTGTTTGGTGGTCATTTATATTTCATTATTTCATAGTATTCTTGATACTTGTTGATATATTGCAGTTGTTATTTTGATCATTTGTAATGTTCAGATTGTAGTAAGTTATAGAATAAGCAGAATACACAAATGACATAAATGATTCTTCTGTAGAGTTATACATATCCTGAATAATTTATTTATTATTCTGAGAGTACTTCAAAGCAGCAGACTGGGAAAATACCCTCCTGACTTCAGTCTTGTTTCTACCTCTATTTAATTGGAAAACAGAAAAAAAAAAACTTATTTTGCTTTTCGTATGCAAATGAATACAGGACTTTACTTACATACTAATAAAAGAGAACCATAAAAACCACTGTGATCTTAGCTTTAGAATATGTAGTATTTTCCACACACAAACCACTCTGATTATATTTCATTCAGTTATAGTGGAAAATGTATAAGCAAATAAAAATGGCTCCTGGAAGAAGGCAATATTATATTGGAATATATGTGAATATTCACAAAAACATTAAGTGACACAAAGAAGCAAGAAATTGCCAAGTCACATAACATATTATATAAAACACTGTATATATGTACATATATTCAGGGAAAACATCCACAGATTTTATTAGCCCCTTAAAGGAGACCAGGATGCACTGTAAGTTTAAAAAACATTACTCTATGAACTGGGAGACAGGACTCAAAGTGGAGAATCTCATATTTAGCCTTGCAAGACCTTGATTTGTTCAGTTCCACCCATAGGTGACTGCCAGAGCATGGTGGGTGTATTCCTACTGGTTCCTGAGCACTGCAGAATCAGGCCAGCATTGGGTGGGCTTGCACTGGGAAGTATTGCACCTGGCACCACCAAGCAACAATGTGGGGAGGGGCCTATAATTTTTTGTAATTAAAAAGAAGTATTATGTACAGCTATATTGACCGAGACAGTTCTATCCTCAAAATGTACATTCCCTTTAACGTGTCAACCATACTATAATTTTCATCTACTCTAACAAGAAAAATCATGAATGTAAATCAGGAGTGATTTAATTCATCAGCAAATGGCCTCCAAAATAAGAAAAGATGAATACTATTGCAATTATTTCTTTCTATTCTTCAGCTTTAACTGATATCACATAGCCATTGCTCATATCTAACCTCGTATTTAAATCTACGTAGTCTTCCCCATTTCTGTTAATAGCAGTTTCATACTTCTAGAATCTAAGAACAGAAAAGTCATGTCAATTTTAATTCTTTCTTTCTCAAAAGCAACATCTTTACAGTGAACAATTTACATCAAAATACATCCCAAATCAGAGCTCATCTCATCAATAACCACTGTTGCCAACTTTGTTCAAGTTGCCCTTTTCTCCTCAGGATTTAATATAGGACAGTATCTCATTGCTTCTTTTCCCTTACTCGTACAGGTAATTTACACTTCTTTATGCATATATATGTATATGTATATATATATTTAAACACATATGCTTATTTTCCATGTAAAATTATAACAAAACATAAAATGCTTAAAGCAGGAATTTTAAGACCAGTGTGAATATAATCTTAGACATCATTTGTGTCTGTCAAAACTCCTAATACAATAAATGTCATGACTTTCTAGTGCAAATAAATTGCAACTTCCCTTATTTATACCAACAGTGTTAAGGCAGGGGGCTAGTAAAATACTAAGATAAATGTCTAATGAATCTGGGAATCTGACGCTAGAAGAAAAATTAATTTTGAATACCTGACCTTAGAAGTCAACAAAAAAAATGCTTTTCACTGCAGTAATTAGACTTAATAAAACTACAAAAGGATAAATGCTGAAATGAATGCAAAATATCTCCTCAAATAGAAGGTAAAGGTGAAGATAAAACTAGATTATGAAAATGGCAATGTCATGAGTGATGGGTAAAGAGAAACACAATGAGAATGTTCATAATGGATATA